TGCATATGAGCTCGGGGCAGACAGCGTTTTCGCATTCTCTCGTAATACAGGGATTCAAGTGATGGCAAAGTACTACCTATAATCTTCTCAGCTGATCCACTGCAGAGTTCAACTTCTGCAGGTCACTGACAGAAACTCGACCAAACCCAACAATGATTGATGAACAAAAGAACACTCTCAATGACAGACCGATAAAAAATTACTTGTTACAATTCCTGTGGCATTTTGCCCTTGAGAAAAGTTGTCTTGGGACCCAAACGACAGGCCCTACAACTTCTATTCCACACCAAAAGAACAAAAAATGTTCCTGATATGGACCTCTAAATCAGTCTTCCTGGACTCAGTCTGAATGGTTTCTGTCTTATCAGAGTGTTTGAATCAATACTTACTGGTGCTTTGAGCTTATTACTGTGCATGAATGAGAGGTTAAAACTAAGCCTGCATAATTTTAAAAATCATGCCAAAGCCTGATGATAGCGGCTTTTTATCGGCTGCTTCAAATTTTGTAACTAATTCCTGAAGCTGCTTTTCACAACACCGGGCGAAGTTAATGCACTGCATGTAGTTTTTCTGCAGCAATCGTAGCCCCTCAGCGTGCATACCAAATCAAATGCATTATGATATAACTGAGGGCAACTTACAAAGAGTCGGACTCCCTCCGTGCGCAGCCATTTGTCGTCGTACATTATGTTCATCTCCTCGGTGGCAATCTCGGCCCAGCGGCCCCGCTTGGAGAAGAGGGAGATGATGCGTCGCAGGCAGCTCTTGGTGGGGAGGAGGTTGAAGGGTGGGGGAACGCGGAGGTCGTCCTGAATGAAGGCCATCCACATGGCCGTGTAGGAGAATTTCCACTGTCGGTCCGCGTTCTCCTGAAATTATGAAAAAAAAAAATTAATATCACAGATTATCAAAGATGTTTGATATCGGAAGAGGCTTTCTATTCTCTCCTCCCCTCCAAAGCCCTTGCAAGAAACTCTGTGAAAGGAAAAAGTCAAAGCTACCACTCCGCAAAGTACTATGGGTAATTTATGTCGTTGGGCCTCTTTGTTCCACACAGGTCGCAATTTCAATCAGTAATCCGTTGTTGGTTCACTAACACCAAATCCTGCTGAATGGATGGCACGAACCAACGATGGGATCACCGATCGAGAACCGGATCACTGGGAAACAAACAGGCTCCTAATCCACGCGGCGGACATCATCTGGACCCGCCATGCATTTGTACCGAATGAAGCCATCGGCGGCCATTTGCTGTGCCAAATACAAAGGCAATGGTTGGCTGGCTTGCCAATGTACATGTAACTATCAGGTTCGTATAAAGTGACTTCGTCGGTCCACGCGGACGCACCACTGACGGCAGGTTCCCATTGGACGCACAGTGACGTTGCGCGTTAACTTCCGGTTCCATGTAACTCTATGTGCAGTGGGCGGGGTTTCAACTGAAGTAACATTCCCGTCACACTTAAGAACCGGATTGATGCCTGATGAACTAATTTGATTAACAATGGTGAGCAAGCATTTGTATTGCCTTTGTATTTGGTACGGTGAGATGGCTGCCCGATGGCTTCAATGACCTCTGCCTATTGATCAAGGGATCACAGGTCCAGATCTTTTTATACAATGAAGTCTGTGATGAACGCGTGTACAATCAGTGTATACATGTCATGAACCTGTGGAAGTGTTGGCCCTCGTCAACATAGTGAACTTTTTCCGATGAGTTCTGGACGAGAATTTATGTCATGCATGGGCCCTCTTACAGTTCCCTGTAATGGCAGTGGGGACGAGAGAAGGTTGCATACCTCAATGTCATTGTAAACGTTGCTCCACACGGCGATGAGAGCGTTCAGTAACACGATGATTAACAGCACGTAGAAAGAAGCGTACAGCAGCGAGCCAGCGGTCTCCATGACGACTGCATTCTTTGGAAGTTCCAGGTCTGTCATGGGCATCAATCCAAAGACGGACCAATAAAGCGTGACCAGCGTCTGGAAAATGCTGAAAGGGTGATAGACGGAAAAAAAATTTTTTGACTAGTATTCAAGGTCATTCTGGGGATTCATACGAAGGGTGCACTCGACCGACTCAACGGCATCTAGTCGCAATCACTCTGATTACACCTGATTAGGTCTGACTATCATTGGTCTAGTATCAATTAAACGGTGTCAGGTTTGGTAACAACCTCAGCTCATTGCTGTCCATATCTACAGAACAATCCGAGGAGGTGCCATTACTGCCGGCAGGGGCACTGTTCTCCTGCGCATGAGCTCTTTAACACTACACGTCCGTGTACTATGATTTTGAAAAATTCAGACATATTTCAAATGAACAATTAAAGTCTGGGCTCAGAACATCGCATTTTGAAGAGAAAGCGCTCTTTACACGCACACTGTCTTCTTGACATCACAACAGCATTGCCCCCATCTCGAAGAAAAGCACGGAAAGTCTTTGATGTGTACAGAGGGCATTTTTCAATGAGATTAACAAAGAAATAATGGCATTTATTTCCAACACGTTTTAAAAAAGTGCGTAAGAAAAGAGTGAGATGATACATGTTATGCCCAAAAGTTACAGCCACGTCATGGACTTTTTCTTTTTTTTTCCATATTAAATAAGCCGTTACTAATCTTGATACTTTGTCTTACTCTGCAAAACTTCCCCGCTTACAGATCTCTGGGTTTTCGGCTGTGCTGGTACAATGGTTGTACTCCTTCTCGTTATGGTACGAGTAGGTTAACGTCAGCCCAACGGCAAATGATCCCAGCACCGTCCCCACCACGATGAAGAAATGGGAAGTCCTTATTGTCATGCCGACGAGGGAGATCTGTAGCGGGCCAATCAGATCGCTGATGACGACGTAAGGCAGCATACGCAGTACGGTGAAGGCTGTTGCCAGAGCCAGCAAGGCCCGGGCCATTATCTGGGGGTGGTTCCAGGGCCGGCGGACAAAGATGCTGTGCTCGCCGTCGATGGGGGTGGTGGGTCCCTTGTTGACCACGTCCTCCTGGAATGAGGCCTTCCCCCCGGTCCTGCGCCGGGCCGTGTAGTTCAGGACACGCGCGACGACCAGCTTAACGTGTGTCTTGGACGTCTCGTTGATATCTGGGTGCGACCTCTCCAGTTCGCCGATGACGTAGTTGCTGATGTCAGCCAGCTTCCCCTCAGTGAAGTTCCTGGCTACAGCCGGTGGGGGTACTTCAACTGACCGCCTGGACCGTGCATAGTCAGGTGTGGCTGGCACACCATTCACTAACTCGGGGCCAAGACTCTGTAATGTAAAAAATTCAAAATATTCAGCAATGCATATTTACGCACTCCTTATGTATGTGCATAATAATGAAGCAGAAACACGGTGCCTACGACTCACTGCCAAGAAAAGAAGTATGTCTAGGGAACTATTTTCATTATCGTCTATTATTTCATTATTTCCACTTGGTTGCAACCCGAAGGTTGAATTATGAAGTGCTACAGAACAGATAAAATTCAATATATTAAAAATACAGATTGCAACAAGACACATACAAATTACCATAAAATATAAAAAGGGTCCGTAAACAGAAGACAGTTAAAACAATACGGGCAGCACTAAAAGTAAAAAAAAAGAAAAAAAAAAAAGCTAGAAGCTCGTACTTACGAAGTAAGAGAACATTTCTAATGACACCCCCACCAGGAACAAGAGGATGATCAGTGTGTCCCGGATGTGTTCCCATTGGGTCATGACCTTTCTGAACCCCCTAGCAGCGACGCATTCGATCTCTCGCCAAAGCAGACCTGTATATCCAAGATAGAGTTCAAGGCACTAATGACCTGTTACTCTCTGACGACAAAGGTGGTAGTACATCTCCCATTCAATGGTGAAATTTTGGAATTCTCAAGTCGAACCCTTGGGACAGTCCTTTGATAAGCCTTTTGCAAGTTAAATTTGAAAAAAAGTGTGGTACACTGAGATATCTGATTGCACATAAACATCACAAATCAAATTCCCAGACTAAAGACACGGTACTGTTGCAAGACCTGGTGATACCGGGCAAGCTTTTGCATAGCAACCGTTTCTGGAATGACCTGGTCCCTGTGTGCCTTTCTTATCCATTCAAAACAGTGTACTGGTCCAAGATGTCTCTTTTGTAACTATTAAACAAAAGCTTGCCCCAAATTGCAAAGTATAGCAACAATGCCTTTAGGATGGAGAATTCAAGTTATGTTGACGTGAATTTAAAGGATTCAGTGTACCACATTTATTTCAATGTAACTCGTAAATGGCTTATTGATAAACAAGAAAGCCCCGGCCCCTAACTTGACTTGCCTTAATTTGAGGACGTCCAGTAACACTGCATTCTTTGAGTGCTTGCTTGGAGAAATTGTACCAGAGGCTGAATTAACAAGTCAGCTTGGTACAGTGGAACGCCGCTGTACTGAACACTGCTCAGTGTACCCAACATCGTCCCTGGCTCCCAATATTTTGTGCACAAAACCTACCGAACACTTTGCGGTTGCCATTTGTAATTCCTGAACGTCAAAGTCCGTTTTTTTATGCTGGAGAGTGGCAAGTGGCCATTATTTCCCCAAGGATTAGAAGGGAAAGCCACTAGTTGTTGAAGAGTCAATTGTAATTAACTAGCTGAAAACTGGGTACATTGGTCCGCACATGTTCAAAGTCGTCTTCTAGTGACAGCCAGGGCACACACGGTTAATCTGCCAACGGTATTGGATGGACACTGGTTTTGCGACTCCATGAGATTGATCGGGCACGAAAGAAAACAACAAGCGGGACTAACATTAGTCTAAAGAGGGCGCCGCTGATACACAAGCCACCGAGTATCACGGACATGGAAAACTCACCTGTGTGAGTGTCCTCAATGAAGCAACACCAGGAATACTGTTCCAGATGAGCTCTGAAGCTTCTCACGGCAAAGGTGACGAGTTAAAGTGACAGGTTTGCACTAGTGCAGCGCAAAAATATATCTCTTTAGTGAGTGTGGTTCTGACTCTCTCTCTCGAGAGCTAAACTATTGAAAGCCCTTATGTAATTACCGTCCGATGGATGCTGCTCCACGGGGGTATGTGTGGTTCTGGAACAGAAGTTGGCTACAGCAAACCTTTCAGTAAATTGTGTTCGGAAAGAGTTCAATACAGACACCCCTTGACATCCTGTGCACAAACTCTATGGAACTGGTCCGAGAAATTGTTTTCTAAGTAAACGACTTGCCTTCTTTCCTCCTAAATTGAACTTTTCTGGAGATCTTTTTGCTCTCTGACAGCTAATAAGTCACTGTAGGGAATAATTACTGATGTCCTTATATGGAACTCTTCCCTTGTGTTCCAGTTGACCAGAAGACAACAAACAAACTACCTGTGATCCAGACCATGGCAGCGATGGCGTACGGGCGACTGATGCTGGGATTGTGGGCCTCCCCTCCGTCGCTGACGGCCTCCCAGGTCAGCAAGGTCACAAAGGTCAGGTCAGATGCCAGGTACATGATGAACATGACGATGCTGAAGAGGAAGGGAAAGAATTCTGAAATGCGTTTCTCTCTGGCCTGCTTCAGAGCATCAGTTTTGTAAAATGAAGGGTCGATTTTGCCGACACTCGGGGAAACAAACGGTAATTTTACACACTGAACGGACATGGTTCTACGCATACGCTGAACTCAGCAAGGCGTTCAAAATTACATCCTTTTCTAAATTCTCAGGATTGACCTTTTACAATGTAAAATCACATCCCACTTTTTGCCACTTGAAAAGTCAAACTTGAACTGACACAATTGCTATGGTAGATGTGATTTTTTCACATCTTGGAATGATGTGTCTGAACGTCTTGGTCACAAACCTCATCTGCCCTCGTATCCACATCACATCAAATCCCAGAATGTAAAGAGTTGAGCTCTGTCAATCTGTGAATTTACTCTTTCTGATGTTTTCTGAGAATTGGCTGCGATCTTCGTCCACGAACTCGCAACCGTTGAACACGTTTTATCTTTCACGTTTACCTGAAGTTTGAAATGGCCTTCACGCTTGTTTTGTTTGCCCCGAGAAAAGTGTTATCAAACACAAAACATTATTCTGGGCATGCATACTTTGGGCAAGTACCTCAGATGCATCATCGATAAACCATTAATTAATTGATATAATTCAAAGTTAGTGTCGTATATTGACTTTATAATGTTTGCTGCAAAAAGTCATTTGTGATGCAGAAAATCTTGAATTACTTTCCTTTGAGGAGGATTCTGCGAATTAAAGTCAAAATTTAAGGCTCTCTAGCTTGGTCAATTTGCATATTTCAGGTCACTCTACTCAGAATGCATTCAACTGCAGTTTTTGTATTTATTATTTATGACTTTGAATATAAATACATGCTCTTTCAATTCAAATTCAAATTTATTTACGTTTTGCATACACATAACCAAACTCCTATACACATGAATCAGTCAGCTTGTCAAAAGACTACTAAGTTCTAATAGCGGAAAAAAAGCACAAACCTGAAAAATGTAGCCCCACCTATTTTGAGTGGCCTACCCCTGAGCAAAACTTGCAAGTTCTACAGAAATGCTTACGGGATTCGGACAAAGGTTTTCAGCTTCTTATGAGATGAATAGACGTGGATTACAGCCAGCACAGGATAGAGCAGTAAAAGCAAAGCGAAGAACAAGAACCGATAGACGACTTTCTTGTCGCGTAAGAAGAGTAGCCTCCGGTAGAACTGGGTGATTATGACCTGCTGGCAGTTTGGATGGGCAATAAACTAAATGCAGAAAAGAAAATAAAGTTGCAAAACTGAAAATCAAACCTTCTATATATTTTTTTCACTTTTGCTGTCTTTTTTGCTTGTTTTAATTCATACCTGCAGCTTGTTTTCTCCAGCCTAGTTCTTCAGTCAGGAATTTGTTTTACAAATATTTTCGAGGGGAAGTCTGAAAGTTTTATTGTATGGCTTTGATCACACATCAAAAAGGATTTCTGTCATCAGATGTTAGGAATGGAAACTAATCTCCCAGCTGTTTACCTTCTGCAGCCCAAGGTCGAGGGCACTCGATATCTTGGGGAGCGGTGAGTGAGAGGCGCAATCCCCAATCAGGACGTTGTCTTCGTCTTGGTGCGTCAGCACTGTCATGATCTGCCAGGCAGTTGATTCACAAAGCGGGTGAGTAAGTGAAGAGTACAAGGCTGAACAACAGTTGGCCAATTTGAACAACAGTTAGCCAATTTGAACAACAGTTGGCCAATTTGAACAACAGTTGGCCAATTTGAACAACAGTTGGCCAATTTGAACAACAGTTGGCCAATTTGAACAACAGTTGGCCAATTTGAACAACAGTTGGCCAATTTGAACAACAGCTGGCCAATTTGAACAACAATTGGCCAATTTGAACAACAGTTGGCCAATTTGGCCAATTACATGTAAGTTCCCGGTGTAAAATATATTTTGTGCAACTGGGTCATTCTATAAATTAGGGGTCCAAAAGCGTGACATTTTTGTGTCCCTGCTTCATATGACCTTTGTTTTTTGACATGGAAATATCACCAGAATTGATTTCAAACTATTACTATTTGTTTGGCAGGTAATTTGCATTAATTCCCCACTCTTGGAAATTAGAAAATGTGTTCTGAACTTATAAAATCATAGGTCAGATGTGACAGGGCCATGAAAAAATTGGACCCCTTATTTATGGAATCACTCAACTACTAATTGCACTCTCATCACACCTACAGGACCAAAAATCTGAAGTCGTCTAGAACCTCAAACATTATTTTCAGTTGTCTTGGCCACGTTAAAGTTGTCAGGTACATCGGAATGCTGTCCATAAACAATTAAACGAGACGATGTCAAATATCCTTGTCGCGTTGATGTTGAAAGATAATATTCCACAGAAGTGATCTCAATACTTTGCCAATGATGTAAACAATAAGCAGTAAAGACCCCTCCATCGGCATTTATTTGTCTGTCCGGGTTGGTGTCATTTGGTTGAAACAGTATCTATCACGTGAGTTGTGACTTGCGACGCCCTGGCCCTAATTACAAGCGACGAAAGCTGCACTTGATTCCGTCAGGAGAAGAGAAAATAGTTGGAATTGCTTTCTACTGGTGAACTTCAAATGACCCTGAACAATGTAGAGGCAGAACGCCACCAACAGCCAGAAAAGACACCCAAAATGGTTTCCAATTGCTGTAAATGTGAGGTCTCTGACTTCATGTGTGTAATAAGCACTCATCCATGCAACTTCAAATCATCAGCCTTGGAGTTCTTAATGGTGCCAAAGGCAAAACAGTATTTTGCTGTGCAACATCAGAGTAAATCCTTGTCATCTGATTGGTGAAGTGTCAATCTCGACAGAAAGATGGAATGTTCTATTCCACTCAGCTCTATCCTGAAGAATAGAGCGTTCCATTGTCAACTTTATAAAATCAATTTATACTCTTCTGACTGCATTGCTATATTGTCATTAATTTTATAAAACATCTATTGAAGAACAGAATTCTTCTGAGTTTTTGGGGTTTGATGTTTTGTTGTGGATTTCACCTCTTCTGTGCTCCTGGCTTGAGAGATGAACTCAGTGGCAAAGTTTTCCATATCATTCTGCAGCGCATTGTAGCCAACCTTGAACTCGATCTCTATCTCCTCCAGCTTGCGGAGCTCGTCGCACAGGGTGAAGGCACGATGGACCGGGTCCTTGCTGGCCATGGCTACGTAGGCCTCGCTGGCCAGCCCTTTGTAGATCTCCATGGTGCCCACAGAGCGCTGGAAACTGTCCTTGGCTGCCGTCTGGAAGTCGTGGCTCTGAGGGATGCGCACACCGTTCTCCAGGAGGATCTGTGGCCAAGGAAAAGACCATGGGCCCTGTTTGTTTCACACGAATCCGGATCCCGATCAGTGATCCCGACGCTGGTTCATTCATTCCATCTATTAGGCAAGGGTTCTGGTGTCAGTAAACCAACATCAGATCACTGACAGCGATTCGGATTGGCACGAACAAACAGGCCCTATCTAGTTTCGAGACAGTGTTGACGCAAATGACGAGTTCTCCTAGTGACCCTCTCTAAAGGACGTCAGATAACACAATCACCTTTAGCCTTCCGATCACTGCCATACAGATTACTCTTTGTAGAAGAGCCCACGCGGGAGAGTTCTGTAGATGTCTTGGACAATGTAGAGGTTTATTTCAGTTTCAAAAAGCTTTCACTACTTTTCCTTCTAAATAAACAGCAATGTGTTGCTGGTGTACATTTTGGTTCTTGCATGAAATCTTCAACATTCTTTTGGGACACGGGCTTAAATGCCACATGATCTGTGACCGAGACCCCGACAGGTACCGTAAACTATGTTTCCACGAGTACCCGAGTGTGGTTCGTGTAGGGCCTCTCAGTTTCAAGAGCGGGCTTAAAAGAAAATGTTGCCTCAAACTTGTTAATGTCAAAAAGAACTGCTGCATGATAAATGCGAGATTCTATTACAAGCAAAATAATGCCTTAGATCTGGGTTGGCAGGTTGGTTTCACCCATTCTTGAAAGGTGGGCTTCAGTTTTGTCTAGCAAAGCATTTGTGACCTTAGTCAGTTTATGAAGTTCTCACGGCATATGCCTGAGAAGACACCGGGAGAACTCACCTTGACCATTGGGAAATTTTTCCTCTGTGCAGCCAGGATGATTGGGGTGATGTCAGGGTGGAAATCATCATTGGCGCAGTGGCAGTCAATGATGCGTTGTCTCTCGGTGGCATCCTACAGAGCGGGAAATTTAGAGCTTTTTTCTTGGCCTATCTCGAGTCCCACGAATATTCACACAAATTTTTCAAGGGGCTAGTGTGGTCTTATCATGGAAAATAGACTCAGAAAGACAACGAAGATTTCCTTCTCCTGTCCTAGGTAGCCACTTTTGTCTATCAAAAAGAAAGTGTGTGTGCCTTAATAGAGGCTTTGCATGGTAGCCATCTTGCAGGGCAGTGCTTTAATTTTACAAAGACACCCCTCTGTGCACACCCAGTGGAACAAAGGCACTGGCCTGCAAGATGGCAGCCACGCAAATCCTCTACAGTTTCACAGAATAGTTCTATTTATACAATACCCGCATAAATCCCAGTCATCTGATTAGTGGATCGTTGATCATGTGTCATTGAATCATTTTATTATATTCAATGGTATCCATTTTATTTAACTGGTTCCTGCCCCCATTTCATATATTTTGATCCCAGCAAATAAAAAGGAAGATATAATGAAGGAACAGAAATTAAACTCTGCACGGTATTACATAGCGGGAAGTGTTTCGAACGTGATCTTATATGTACATGTATTTGACAAAATGACAGACGTTAATATGTGAGCAGGGCTTATTTGTTCTCCTAATAGACGAGGATTTATGCAGGTAGGCTACTGTATAAAACCAATCATGAATATTTCACATTCACGCCAAGGTACGGTGTAAGAGTAATTTCATGCACTCATGAACATTCATTTCTCTAATGTGCAGCAATTCACATCTGTGGTGTGACGAAAGAAAATAAGCCTGAACACACAATGTTGGGGGACATAATTCAACAAAAAAATGACAAGGAAAAAAAATCCTTTGTTGTGTCTTTGTAATTCTTTGTTTGGAATGCAATAAAACAGGTGCAATCATAGGTCCCCCGAAGTGAAGGAGGTGTGAACAAACTTTTGGCATGGAATTACACTTATGGCAGTCAACCAGCTGCTCAGTTTGCCCTGCACTATGCAGTACCTTTTGACACAGCGGTGGAAGGAGAAAATTGCCTGTATGATGAGACTCTTGAGGGCGCTTAGCGGCTACACTGAATAAATGGGTGCAGGCCAGTATAAACTGCCATACACCCTAGCCAACAGTGATAAATACCTGAACTTCCAAAGATCAGGGAAAAAACTCATGAGTTTCCCTCCCTTTCGAAACACACATCAAATTAAAGACCGTTTATGATTGGTCATTTTCTTTTCGAATTTCCATTCATTAACCATTGAAGATATTGCATTTCCTCAGAAGGTTACCCCTAAAAAGCTGTCATGAAGTCTCTTGCCATTTGGAAAACTTGATGCCTACACTTCTTGGTAAATAGACCGTTTTCAGGCACTGACTTCTTCCAAATCTCACTCAGACATAAGCTGGTATTCTTCTTGCTGGCCTAAACCCGTCTTTTCTACAAATCTTTAAGTTCGTGGGACACAAAATGCTCTCTTCCGTAGACAATTTGAGTTGATACAAATTGTGATTTTGCAGGCCCAAGCAGCTGAGTTTTTGGCCCATACTGGCCTGCACACAGAATGGCCAGGCACTTTGTAACAGCCTACAAAATCCGGAGTTCTTGTAACCAAGCATATACGACCAGTCAAGGACATTGGATTCCTCTAAGCAAAGTCCTACCTTAAGAGCATGTGCTCTGTCGCACAATATTCGCACTGCCTCGCTGAAGTCATGCTCCACGGCTCGCAAAACAGCATCTTTGATCTGGACACCGTGATCCAGGAGAGGGTAAATCACACCTGAAAGAGGAAGTCTATCTTGGATAATTATAGGCTGAAAAATGGGCCAAGACAGGTCACAAATCATTTCAACAGTGGCTTTGTAAGATATGGCACAATATCAGGAGATACATGTATTCCAGTTTTTCCTGTGAATGCAAAAACAAAACAAAAAAAATGTCAAAAGCCTTACTCTCCAGAGGGGAATAAAGGGTTTCGGGAAAAAATGCCAAACTATGACCCTCCCCCCCCAAAGAAACAAGGTTTGCTCCCGAAAATGTGGTTCTGGATCTGCCCTTGTTTGATAAGCATGCGGCTAATCAAGATACAGAAACCGGCAGTTTGGATTTCCTTTCATCCTCATAAATCAGTTTGTTAGATTACATTTTTAAATTGTGTCAACGCACTTAAGTCACTTTTTTTCCTTTTCGCGAGTAATGGCTATGGTGGATATCTGAAGATCTGAATTCCATCTCATGACTATGAATTCACGATATCAATGTACATGTAATCATGAGCGTAAATCCTGGGGGGGGGTTGGGTAGATTATCCCCCACCTGCTGAGTTTTGGGGTGGGGGTGGGCAGAGGCTATCCCCCACCCACTGGGTTTTGGGGTGGGGGTGGGCAGAGGCTATCCCCCACCCACTGAGTTTTGGGGTGGGGGTGGGCAGAGGCTATCCCCCACCCACTGAGTTTTGGGGTGGGGGTGGACAGAGGCTATCCCCCACCCACTGAGTTTTGGGGTGGGGGTGGGCAGAGGCTATCCCCCACCCACTGAGTTTTGAGTTGGGGGTGGGCAGAGGCTATCCCCCACCCGCTGAGTTTTGGGGTGGGGGTGGGCAGAGGCTATCCCCCACCCACTGAGTTTTGAGTTGGGGGTGGGCAGAGGCTATCCCCCACCCACTGAGTTTTGAGTTGGGGGACGGGCTACTGAATCATCCCCCTCCCAATCATCCAATTTTTTTGTGATGGGTCATAAATTAATGCTGACCGTTGAAGAATTTTTGGGGGACTCAAATTGGATTCGCCATATCACTCACACAGGGAGAACAATTCTTAAAAAGCCATAAATTGATTCTCCATGAATGTAAAACATATTATTACAGATGTTCATCGCCCAGAATAATAAATTATTAAGGCTGGGCAAGTCCCCCCCCCAAACACACACGCACCCAAGTGTGTATTTGCCTGCAATTGGGGACCCCCTATTGTTCCTCTTTTGTTTGTACTTTAACTTTTTTAGAAGACCACCCATATGTTTTGTACACAGTTGTCAATCGGGGACCCTCTGTCAATCGGGGACTTTATTGTCCTCTATTGTTCAGGGTCCCCAATTGAATGCAGAAACAAACTCACACACACCCACCTCCTCCCGCGCCGTAGTTGTGCGGACATACACACGACATTTCACCCATTTTGTGGGGACCGAAAACGTTGTGGGGACTCAGAAATGTCCCAACTACTCGGTTCAAATTTTCCTAACAAAAGAACTTGTCCTCTTAGCGCGGTGAATGCCTACCCACACACCCTCACCCAACCACCAATCTCCGGCACAAAGTCATACAAATGTAACTTTATGAAGAAAAGCTTTATAAAAGTATCCAAAAACTCGGTCACTTCGCATACATACTGTAAATCCGCCAGTAAAATATCACTTGCCTTCAAAAATAAGTTCGCACAACTCAAAGTCAAAGAAACATTGGCCTAGGCCCTCACTTAGCCTATCGCAAGAAAAGAGCTTCATTCACCATTCTCCATGTTGTGAGAAAAACTGGTGGGCTCTATATCATACAAACGTAGATGCTAAAATTTAAAAACAATATTGAATTTATGCGAAAATAGGCAACAGTATAGGCTTCTGTTATTTGTTCCTTCTAAATTACATTCCAACTATGGATTTTGTCTTTTGATAGTTTTCCTATCAGCGGCCCAGCACTCACCCAGGTTCCCATTTTCGATGGCCACGTGGAGAGCAGTGCGCCCGCTAGCGTCGGTACAATTGATATCGAGATTATGCTGTAGACTCTTCTCGAGGCTGTCCTTCATCCCCTTGACGTCGCCCTTCATGGCAGCAATGAAGTACCTCTCCCTGGCTACCTCTGGGCTTATACCATCCCCCATGGTGACTGTACGAAAACCTAAACCTAAAAAGGTAACAAAAACAACCAGATTGTGCCAATGAAGGAGTAACACAATTTGCATGGCGTCATACGAATTTTGGGCTTAATTGAAATTGGGCCCCTTGTCGTTACGGGTTCCCAGCTTCCAGTTTCTCTAAGAAGTCAGTGGTCTGTTATGTACAATACAATTCTAAGAGTTCATTTTTGGACCTTTTTACCGTATTGCCAAATCAAAGACAATTGGACTCGGTCTTTTTTTAAAATTCTTAACAATCACGTACAGGCACTTAAAATAAGTAAACCCTGTGTGAAGTTTCGATATGTTTTATTTACGGGTCATTTGAGTTTATGTCCTCACATGCACGTGCTGACCCACGTGCATTGACAGCATCATTGGGAAAAGTTGTGGCTGAACAATCAAAGAAAAAAAAATCGGGTTTCGCGAAGATTGGTACATCCCATTTTCACAAAAAAATTGGTGTCGAAATGATTCCAAGGCTTTACTGAGCAAAGTAATCGACAAGTTTAGCGCAGGAATAAAATGCATCCCGACGGTGGTGAATTCCTCCGTTCTTTTAGAGTTAAACCACGTTGCAAAGTGCGGGCTAGGGGACCACGGGCACTGTTTGGAACCGCTTGCTTGGTAAGCGCTGAGCCTGCCTTCTGTCGGCGAGGCTGGCTGACAAGCGTTCGACAGAGCAAGCCGCTTCGAAATCTCCTTCCGGTCCTCCATTTGCAAAATGACGGTATGCGCATGTGTTGGAAAGTGAGGTGAAAATGATGCCCGAGACACAAAATGACCATCGAAGTAAT